ACCTCCAAACTACGAGATGCAGTGGTAGAAAACGGAAAGCGAAATTTATTGTAGGGGTAACATTAGAAATATTGTATTTTTTTATTTTATCTATCTAAAATGTTACTCACTATTTCGTATTTTCTTATACACAAGAGACGACCAGGCAATTTTTTTTTTTTTTTTTATCAGAGTGGCATTTGTTAATTCTGTATCAAATACAACTCTATAGGCTAAACTTTTTGACTGAATGAAAAATTGGATTACTAAGATTACACATAATTCCTTGAATAAAATTCCACTTCTTATTAACAATAGACAGTTGGAAGAGGGATAAAAAATATCTTTAAAAAGAGGAAAAATTAGGCTTAACGATTAGGAAAGCTCACCAACCAAGGAAAACGTGTGATGTTTATGTAACTTCTTGTCCAAGGTCTTTAATCATTTACATATGCATTCTCTTATGGCAGAAAACCCCTAAAAAATCCATGCAAAAACATATGAATATTTGGGGAAAAAAAAGTTGTTTTAGTTATATAATCTTGCAGGAATCAAAAATATTATTTACATTGCATTCTTCAAACTCAGGTAATGATTATTTTTTCTTTTGCATTTCCCTTCTCTCACCTCCCTTCCTTCCTCGCTTCTCTCCTCTCTCTCTCTCCTCTCTCTCTCCTCTCTCTCTCTCTCTCTCTCTCTCTTCTCTCTCACTCTCTCTCTCTCTCCCCCCCTCTCTCTCTCCTCCCCTTCTCCTTCTCTCCCCTTTTTCTACTATTCCGTTTCCTCAAATTCTCCCTCGCCCTCTTCTTCCTTCATCTTCTTATTCCTTTTGCTCTTTCTTTCTTGCGTTCCATCAGCTGACACGAAGGGAATAATGAACATCTGAAATTCAGGCATTCTGTGGCAGCTGGGTCCACACATCCTCAATGTAAACTCGTGTGTGAGTAGAGCTATAAATGACTAAAATATAATAAAAAAAAAAACATAGTAACAATAATAATATCATTGTTATTATTTCTGTTATTAGTAGTAGTATGAAAATTATTAGAATTATAGCAATAATAGCAAATTACTGCTATTATTGCTATAATTATCAAAATTATCATTACAAATATCATTTAAAGGGCCTGTCAGACAATCACTTTTTCCACCATTTTTTGCGTTCCCGAATGGACTTATGAATGAAATTCGACTGACCTTATCACATTACCAAGGCAGCAACATAGCTCATGTAAACAAACATGGCGCTATCGGAGTGAAGTCCCGGGAATCACACGGACATTCTCGTACATATTACGTTATTTTAAAGAAATATGATGATGTATAATGTATATACCAATGTTCTAAAATATCAGATTATGTTTACATTCACTCATTCTATCTAATTAATCAATAAAAAATCTAGCTGTATAGATCCTTCGTAGCACATGAAGACCTAAATTAAGGTACTGTCACACTAGCACCTTTTCCGTCATTTTTTTGACAATTCTCCAGTCAGACGATAATGATCGTTTCCGTCTGAAAACCTTTCCGTCAACTTTTTCAGCCAAGCAAAGTCAAATCAAGAGTTATAGTCTAGAATGTTTGTATTTATGGTAAAAAAAAAAAAAAAAATCAAAAAATTTGACGGAAAAAGTGCTAGTGTGACACGGCCTTCAGTCAGACGGAAACGGTCGCAACTGTCTTCGTCTGTGAGGCTGCACACGATACTTGCGGAGAGCCTCAAATTCAGACGGAAACGCAAACATTGACGAAAAAAGGAGTGTGTTAGGGCCTATATATACATTAAAACTGAGTACATATGCTCTGACATAAGTACTCTCACACACCCTCTAATTACACGGGCGATTCATGTCAATACCTATATATCAGGATTACTGAACTTGAAAGAGTTGGCGATTCATAAAGGGTTGATTGATTATGCAAGCGTTGGAATGATCCACGCAGCTGAAGTCTATTCTTAGATTCTTGCCTCAGTTCCTTCGATCTGCTCTTTGTGGATACTCTGATATTTATTCTTTTGCTTAAAATAAAAAGAGAATTTTTTTCTCCCTCTTTCTACCAAACAAGTCTTTATCAACAATACCAATCAATTTATAAAATGCTTGTTATCCATAATGAAGATCAGATTCATGGGTTCACAGTATGGTATCTCTTCGTAAAATATCGATTTAAAAGGTATAGATACACATACACACACACACACACACACACTCACACTCTGTCAGCTTTCCTATATGTGAAGATCTGATAACAGAAATTGCTTTTGTAAGAAGGTAGGAAGAATAATCAAATTAAAGGCTTATACGTTTTATTATAAAAATATTTTGATACATGAGGGTTTTAAAATGTGTGACAATATAATGAAAATGGGGAAAGTATGGCAATAACCTGCTTGTAAAATTCAGTCTATAATATATTGGTCGAATGCATGAAGAATATCACAGTAAATAGTATATATTTGTATAAATGCTTTGCGTAAACACACTTACAAACACACACGTCAACAAGTCCACTTTCAGCATTTGTGCAAAACTTAAACTGCAACACGGGAGCATATTTTGATGATTTAGGTCACTCTCCGCCCCTCCCCCCCCCCAAAAAAAAAACCTTCAATCACCGCATTTCATCTGAAAACGTCACTCTCGCCACGCCTCTGACACTATCTGTTATTTCTCGACTTGAGAAGGTCGTTATTTTCTCGACTTGAAAACTTGAAAATGGTCGTTATTTTTCTCGACTTGAAAAAGGTCGTTATTTTCTCGACTTGAAAATTTTCTCGACTTGAAAAAGGTCGTTATTTTCTCGACTTGAAAATCGTTGAGAAAGGTCGTTTTTTCTCGACTTGAAAAGATCGTTATTTTTCTCGCCTTGAAAAAGTTCGTTATTTTCTCGACTTGAAAAAGGTCGTTATTTCCTCGACCTCTCGGTGGCTTGAAAAAGGTCACTATTTTCCCCGACCTCTCAAAAATCTCAAAAAAGGTCACCATTCTCCCCGACTTCTCAGAGACTTAAAGAAGGTCGTTTCTTGTCCTTCCTTCTGAGGGCGCGCTTCCCGCTGGTTCTGGACGACGACGGTGGGTCTGAGGGTGGGCGAGGGTGGGTCGGTTCCTCTGCCAATTAAGGAGCCAATGATCCTGCGGGCAAAGGAGGTCAGTCAGCATCTCAAAGGTATGTGTGGAGGAGAGAAAAGGGAGGAGGGAAGGAAAGGGTAAAAGGAGGAGGAAGGAAGGAGTAAAAGGAGGAGAGGAGAGAAAGGGAGGAGGGAAGGAAAGAGTAAAGGAGGAAGGAAGGAAAGAGTAAGGAAGAGAGGAAGAGTAAAAGGAGGAGAGAAGGAAAGAGTAAAAGGAGGAGAGAAGGAAAGAGTAAAAGGAGGAGAGAAGGAAAGAGTAAAAGGAGGAGAGGAGAGAGTAAAAGGAGGAGAGAAGGAAGAGTAAGGAGAGAGGAGGAAAGAGTAAGGAAAGAGAGAGAAGGAAAGAGTAAAGGAGGAGAGAAGGAAAGAGTAAAAGGAGGGAGGAAAGAGTAAAGGGGAGAGAAGGAAGAGTAAAGGAAAAGAAGGAGAGAGTAAAAGGAAGAGAGAAGGAGAGAGTAAATGGAGGAGAGAAGGAAGGAGTAAAGGAGGAGAGAGGAAAGAGTAAAAGGAGGAGAGAAGGAGAAAAGGAGGAGAGAAGGTGAAAGTAAAGGAGGAGAGAAGGAAAGAGTAAAAGGAAGAGAGAAGGAGAGAGTAAATGGAGGAGAGAAGGAAGGAGTAAAAGGAGGAGAGAAGGAAAGAGTAAAAGGAGGAGAGAAGGAGAGAGTAAAAGGAGGAGAGAAGGAAAGACTAAAAGGAGGAGAGAAGGAGAGTAAAAGGAGAAGAGAAGGAAAGAGTAAAAGGAGGAGAGGAGGAAAGAGTAAAAGGAGGAGAGAATGAAAGAGTAAAAGGAGGAGAGAGAGAATAAAAGCAAATAAGTGGTGTTCACGAAGAAAAGAAAAGAAATGAAACACAGGACCCCAGAAGAAGAAAAAAATAAATAAAACTGAAATTAAAACCTAATATTAACGCTGAATTTGTTTCGGGATGAGAAAATGAAGCTCATCTATGTATTCGACTATATAACACACACACACACACACACACACACACACACACACACACACACACACACACACAACACACACACACACACACACATATATATATATATATATATATAATATATATATATATATATATATATATATATATATATATATATATATATATATATATATATATATATATATATATTATATATATATATATATATATATATATATATATATATATATATCATACACACACACACACATGTATTATTAGACATCCACGGTATAAGACATAAGATGTATAAGACATCCACACGGCGCACATGTGTGTCCCAGAGTAACCACCTTCACCGCAAGCGATGCGAATGCGATGCTTGACCATGGCTTCGGTGTAATTTGGAGTTCGTAATCATGATATATCAACTTATAAAAAAAAATGTGATACAATAGACTCGTCAGATTTAACGAAAGTGCAGACGTCCTTATGGTCTGGTTAGGTATCTGTACACAACACAACCACACACACACACACACACACACACACACACACACACACACACACACATATATATATATATATATATATTATATATATATATATATAATATATATATATATATATATATATATATAATGTTGAGTCTTAATCCGAAGTCTGGGCTCCAGCACAGCATTCGCATGGGTTTTGGTAATGGCGGCAACTAAGGTTTATCCGCATAACGACCACCTTTCCCCGCGGACTCACCTGGAGACGGCCACGATGGAGAGTCGGCGCTGTCGGGGCGTCGGGCGGGTCATCTGCAGTGACGGGTCTCCCTGAGCAGTGCCTGGAATGCCAGAGTGACGCCTACGTGGCTCTCGGCGGCACTCACCTCGTAGAACTGGCACCCGTGTTGCAGGGACAGCGCCTGCCCTCCTCCACCGAGACCTGGGGGGGGGGGGGGGTCGGTCTTATA